GAATGCTGATTGAACCATGCTGGTCACCCTCCCACCTCAGGACATGTGTAGTGACTTAAGCCAAAGAAGTCTCTTTGTTGCTTAAATCTGTTAAAGTGGAAGTCTCTCCTACTTGCGGCAGAGAACATCTCAACTGACAGCTGGGTTAAACAAAACTGACAGGCTGATGATTGAGGGTCATCCCAGAACCTTTATTCTAATGTGTGAATTTATTTGGCTATAGGTTCTGTTCTTTCTTAGTGCATCTCACAGAACAAGATCTAGTTTGACTCCTGAATTTCACAAGAGAAAACTGAGGTCTATTATGTTTAAATAACTTTTCTAAGCTATTCATAGTTAGTCTGAGATCTGGGCCTAGACTACAGGCCTCCCAGGCCTGCATTCTTACCTCAAGGTCATACCCCCTCTCTGTCCCTTGAGGATAAATTTCAAAAGAAGAATCTAGGGCCAGAAGTGATGGCATGCCTGCAATTCTACCTACTTGGGAGTGTGAAGCAAGAGGAATCCTCAAGCCAAGTTCTAGACCAACCTGGGCAATGTATACCAAGACCCCTGCCCCCACCATCTATCTGAAAAAAGCACCAACAAAAAAAGAACCTTATTGTTCTTTCACAGAGACTCCAGATTTCCAGAATATTTTGAAGCACAGTTTGTAAGTTTTTGCGCTCATAAGCAATATAGAGCTTTAGGTTCAATAAAATGGGTCTGAAGTGTTTGAAAAAATTACATCAGTTACCAAATATTCTAAAATCAGTTAAAAGTCAGGTTATTTGAAATAAAAATATTAATTTCTGGCTGTTCTAATAAAGTTGAGACAATCTGGCAACACTAGGTCTATATTTCCACAAATATATTTCTCAAAAATAATGATTAGCAGGAGCTAAGTGGTCAGCACTGCCTCCTGGGATGAATGCATGGCCACTCCACTTTGCCACAGTCACCGCTATTCCCTATTGCATCCTAACACTAATGCCAAGTGTCATTGGTCATTTATCAGTCCATGAGTCGTGTTGCTTTTTAGAAAATATCCAGTCAATCAAATAACATATCGGGACTCTATAGCCAATTATTTTTCTATACTTGAAAAAGTAAAAATTCCCAAACACAGATATTAAAAAATACTTCCAAAGTCCAGTAAATTTAAAGGAACACTGAGTTAATCAAAGACAAACAGGTTTCTTTGCTGTCTCTTTTCTTAGTCCTTCATGGGCTATGGATCCACTGGAGGAAGGCCAGCATATATGATTTGGCCATGCACATACTTTTTCAGAGACTATTTCTTTGTCACTGTTATTCCATTGAATACACTTTGGGAAATACTGCCATGAAAACTCCATGTTCCTTCCTGCCAGTGAGCTGGTGGACTAATGTTTCTTTTTTCTAGATTGTTATCATCTCGGTTTTCCGATGTTCCCTGGAAGCTATTTTGAGAACAGAACAACAGCAGCCTGGCCTAGTTCCAGTCAACTCCCAGCACAGGTGAGCCTGTGGTCTAATCCACACTGAGATTATTCCAAAGAACAAGGCCAAGATTTTGCGATGTTCTGGCAGAGCGAGAAGAACAGGGCCAGGCTCACTGCGGCCCACGTGCATTCCTCCCTGAGAAACCAGCTTCCTGGCTCACCACGGTGTGTATTCTATGTAAAAAAAAAAAACAAAAAAACAAGAGAGAAAGGTAGAAAACAAAAAGTGATGGTAGATCGATGCCAAAAGAAAAACAACGCTTTCTCAAAAACCGCCTCTTCAAAGAAAGGCATCACACCCAGAAGTGATTTCATCCTCTTTATAACTTTCACACTCAAAGGTGAGGAAAGACTAAATTTTAACTCTGATGGCCAGTGTGCTCATATAATTCAAGACAATTAGATATAGCTGGAAAAATTTACCCTTCAGATTATTTTTTCTTTCTTCTTTATTTTTTTGAGACAGAGCTTTGCTCTTGTTGCTCAGGCTGGAGTGAAATGGCACAATCTCGGCTCACTGCAAACTTCGCCCCCGGGGTTCAAGTGATTTACCTTCCTCAGCCTCCTGAGTAACTGGGATTACAGGCACCTGTCACTGTGCCTGGCTAATTTTTGTATTTTTAGTAGAGACAAGGTTTTACCATCTTAGCTGGTCTTGAACTCCTGACCTTGTGATCCATCCACCTTGGCCTCCCAAAGTGCTGGGATTAAAGGTGTTAGCCACCATGCTCGGCCCCCTCAGAATAATTTTTCTAAATGTGCAACTGTGTCTCTCCAAGCAAAGAGACTAGAAGCTCATTTCCTGCTGAGGGATGAACATGGAGTTTCTTGCAGGGGTTCTTGATAATATTGCTAAATACTATCTAAAAAGTCATTGTATTAGATATTCATCTTGGAGGTTTCCCCTGGCTATAATATCCCGAGTAGAGTTTGGCTCATAAATCCTTTGAGCAGCCTGCTCCAAGCTGGCCAGCTTTCATTCCCTTGGAGAAGAGATCCCCTCCTTAGAAGTAAGCAGTTCCTAAATGGCTGAGTACATACCTCCAAGCAAGCCTCTTTCATTCTAATAAAGACCACAGCCAATGTGGAACATCTGCTAAACTGGGGTGGAGAGTCAGAGGGAAAACCTCACCCAGGGTGCTTCTTGTGAGACATGGATGTTTTCCTTTTTCAGCAAGAAGTCAAGCTCTTACCTCCTAGAGACTCGATCATCTTAGGATGCCAACTGCTAGCTCTGAAGGTGCTTTGTCTCTCTAGTCTTTTTGTGAGCCCAGACTCAACTCCCTTGCTTCTTTTAGGCCTATGTGGGTTGTCACAAAGTTGAGACACACTTTAACTGTCTTCTTTCCTTGCCAAGTGAAAGCACGTCCTGTCCTGACAACCTAGTCATTTTCTCCATGAAACCTTTCTAGAACAATGACATGTATAAAATGACATTAAATAAATGTCTAATGACATTAGATCATCCAGTCACCCTAGAGTTTAATTCTTAAGATTTCAACTCACCCTTAATAAGATTGTACCTGTGTGCTTAATAATATGAGCATTTACGCAAGTTAAAACAAGGTTTCTCAGCCTCAGGACAGGTCGTGTGCAGCCTTTGTTTTCATTGAGACAACATCAGAGAGAACTCTCAAAAACAGAGTTAGTGATGAAGGAAATGTTGGGTTTTACATTCCAAAAATAATGCAATTTCAGCTTGCATTTACTGAGCATTTGTTGTATGTCAGATACGGTGCTAAGCATTTTCTAAGAATTATCTCCTGCAACTCTCACATCCACCCCAGGAATTGTTCAACTTTTATGAAGTACCAGGTGAGCTTCAGAGAATGTTATATCACTTGTCTAAGGTCACGCAGTTAGTAGGTCCTGGAGGCTGTTCAACCAGGCAGCGTGTCTCCTGGCTCTCCCAACCCAATACTCCATCGCTCCCCGGAAAAACAGTGCTGCCTTTTCTCTCCCAGTGTCCTCACACAGCCTCAAATGTGCTCATGGCCACACTGGGTTAAGAAGAGATGTGAATCTATACAAAATTCTTCAATGTTAGACACATTTGAAACAGCAAAGAAAATGCTACATAATAAAGACCTCCTAATCTTAAACGACTGACTCAATCCTCCTTTTTTTTTGGATTGTAGACTGTAATCCTCACTGCAAAGAACTGAACAGCTTCCCTGAAATAAAATAATGATTTCTCCCTACTCCATCCCTTCTACAAACAGTAACTGCAGTGGTAGCAGCAATAGAAAGATCAAGCTGGGCCCCAAGACTTCCCTGGAGTGTTTTTGCTTTACCTGCTGTAGATGAGGCACTCTCGGTTGTTGATGACTTTATCCGATTTGTACCTTCGGAGGTCTTCCCAAGCGTCCTTGATGGCGGTGACTGCCATGATAATGCAGATTGGTATCATGCTCACCTCAGGCTGGAAAGCGTTGACCACAGGGACAAAATTCAGAATCACAATGCCCAGAAAATAGAGATTTGCAAACCGGTGCAGCTGCTCAAAAATGTTTTTGGGGATGAAGGACAACACGGTGTACTTGCTGGTCTTGATTTGATTCCCACGATGATGTCTGTTGGGGTTCTCTTTGTGATTCCATCCTTCAAAGGGCAGGTTAGACACCACCACCCGTTTCTTGTCTTCTTTTCTTTTCCACCTTTTCCTCCCTTCCTTTTTCATCTCTGCTCAGTGTTGTCTTTTTAATTCTCATAATTTAATTTTCATCTTTTACTTGCCTTCTCTGCTGAAAACTTTTCTCTCTTCTTTTAGAAGGATACCAGAAATGAAACGTCAGGCTGCACACCCCAGAGGAGAAACATGACAAGGAAGAAGCCTGCGGTGAACAGGTGTGTATCTACCAGGCCACTTCCTTCTACTCGTTTGAGACTCCACCTGTTGGAATGTAGACGTCACCCACAGGTGTCTTCCTTTTCCACCCTGGGCAGCCAAGAACAGGTGTACCAACTCTGGGTCCTAAAACCTACCTGGTTCTAAAAGCAAGAATTTTTAACTTAAGAAATTGAGGCTTTAAAATGGCAGACATTTTCTTGGTTTGGGAGACATTGCCTGACATCCTCCAAAGAGTTTCTCCTGAACTTAGTCTCCCAAGAGAATCCAGCCACCCTAGAGTTTAATTCTTAAGCTTTCAACTCACCCTTAATAATACTGCATGTGTGAGCTTACTAACATGAGTATTTACACAAGTTAAAACAAGGTTTCTCAGCCTCAGCACTATTGACATTTTGACTGGACAATAATTCTTCTCTGGGTCTGTTCTGTGTATTATAGGATATTTAGCAGCACCCCTGGCTTCACCCACTAGATGTCGGTAGAACCCCCCACTTTCAGTATGCAACCAAAAATGTCTCCAGACATTACTAAATGCCCACTAGGGGTCAAAATCACCCCCACTTGAGAATCAGTGCATTAAATAACTGAAGAAAATATAATGGAAGAAAAGAGACTCATTCTTAGGCAATGCTGATAAGTTTGCATAACCCAACTGCAAGAGAGAACACAGGGATGCTTTCTCTTACCTTTCATATATTCGAACGTGGGAGCAGTTTATGGCTTTATCAAAGCGGTGTCTCTTGAAGTCCTCCATGCCATCCTTGATCATGATGATGAACAGGACAATGGCCAATGGTAACATGGTGATTTCCCTGTGGAAGACTTCCACGGAGGGCATCCAGTTCAGAATCACCAGGAACAGGAAATAGACGTTAGCCCACCTGGAGGGGCAAGCGAAGTGTGAATAAACACTATGGAGAAGAAAAGTGTACTTTCTCCCCCATTTCTTCCCTACTGTTTGGCCTTTATCAACTAAACATTCTATTTCAGTATCACTTCAAACATTATGGTAATGGCTTTGAAGCCAAACCCATTTCAATTTTTAAAATTAATTAATTAATTAATTATTTCCATAAGTTATTAGGGAACAGGTGGTGTTTGGTTACATGAGTAAGTTCTTTAGTAGTGACATGTGAGATTTTGGTGCACCATCACCCGAGGGGTTACACTGCACCCAATTTATGGCCTTTTATCCCTCTAATCCTTCCCACCCTTTCCCAGAGTCCCCAAAGTCCTTTTTGTCATTCTCATGGATGAGATTGAAGACGATTATTCTCAGAAATGGAAAACCATCTAGATTTAAATACTGTTCCTGTTATTTACTAGTTGTGTGATTTTTGAGCTTATTTCCTCTCGCACAAAATAGTATTATTGACTTTGCAGGGCTCCCATAAAAATTACATGGTATATATAATATTTGCGTGATACACAGTAGAAGGCTCTGAAGCAAAGCAGTTGCTCAGTAAACAGTCACTTATAATAATAATTACAATACTGAGGATATGTAAGCACATATTTTATAATGGTCTCATACATTATCTCAAAAGAGTTGCTGATGTTTTTAAGTTTTCCACATGCATCTTGCTGCCCCTTGCTGTAGTGCCTTTGCAGGAACATTCTGGTGACTTCTCTCTGTCCCTTTTCACTGAGGTAATGCTGTCTCTCTTTCAGGCTATACTTCAATTCCCTGACTTCCTTAACTAGGCAAGATTTCCTTATTATTCACTATAATAGCACCACGTACCTCTTCTTAGAAGTATCTATTCTAGTTACAACTTTATATCAATTTACACAATTAAAAAACTAATGTCTGTCTCTTTTACTAGACAATATATTCAATAAGGACACTATCTCTCTGCCTTTCTATTTTTCTTATGTATCTCTAGCTCCCAACCCATGGCTTGAGACAGAGTAGAGCCCTGACAAATATTGGCTGAATGAAAGAATGAATGACAAAAACTTCTTAAGATAAATGCATTTGGACACTAAAGGAAAGGTGGCCCCAGAGGGGAGCATCTCTGAGTTTATCTAAGTGGCAAATACTTGATTACAATAAGCATTGTTGGCTGGGTGTGGCTCACACCTATAATCCCAGCACTTTGGGAGGCTGAGGCAGGAAGATCACTAGAACCCAGGAGTTAGAGACCAGCCTGGGCAACGTGGCAAAACTCCGTATCTATATAAAAGCACAAAAATTGGCCAGGTATGGTGGTGCACACCTGTGGTCTCCGCTACTTGGGAGGCTGAGGTGGGAAGCTTATTTGAGCCAAGGAGTTTGAGGTTGCAGTGAGATGAGATTGCACCACTGCATTCCAGCCTCGGCAACAAAATGAGACTCTCTTGCTCTAAAAAAAAAAAGGGGGGGGTATTGTTCAGACAAGTGGATCTGTACCTATGAAATTGTTCAAAGAGGTTCCGGGGCAGGAAGGTGAAGAGGGTGTATTTGGTTGTGCAGGTTCTGTTGCCGGGGTATCTCCTGGAGACCTCTTCCCAATCTTGATGGAATATGCTGTTGTTGGGGAACACGACCCGCTGCTGTGTCAAGTTGTAGCTCTGTCTCCCTTTCTCTGGAGAGAGCAGCGGTGTGGTTTCTGATGGACAATGGGAGATGCCATCTCTGACTCTCCACTGCCACCGATGCCATGATGAGTCCACTGAGAGGGCCATTTCCAGGGGCAGGCTAAGGTCTGAAAACAGACACAGGAGGAACTATGTTTAGGAGAAGGATGCAGCATATTTGCCTGTTCACTGGTGGATCATCCATGCGGGGAAGACACTGAAAATATTCTCAACCCACACTTTGACCTACTTCTTTGTAACTGAAGGTCACTAAATCCTGACCATTTGCGTCCCTGTTGTTTCTAAAGATAGGATTTCTTACATTAGAGTCATAAGGATTTTGTGTAAGATCGAGTTTCTGATGTTAGAATCCCTATGTTCTAGGGTGAGACACACTAAACAAATAATCACATAAATAATATGCTGCTAATACTGCGATATGTGCCATGGGAGCATTGAGGTGGGTGGGACGTGCTGTTGGCCTAGCTGGGTCTGTCAGGGATGGCTACAGTATGGCTTGCTGGGCTATGACCCTGCAGGTCAGAAGTCTAGCTCTGGTTCAGTCCTAGTGTGGAACTGTTTCTTCACCTTCAGCTGATCTCCAGCTTCCTCACTGTGAAATGAGGAGCACTCTTCTTACTATGCTTTTCCCACAAGGTTTTTGGGAGGAACAAATTGGATGGTACAGAAAAATATATTGGGACATGTCTTAAAACAAAGGAAAATGTATCTATTCCTTTTCTTTGGCTCTAACATTTTCTGATACTGACGACATTTTGCAGAAACTTACCTGAGGCCAGAACCTCAAAGGAGACTGATAAGTGGAATAGAGGGGACAGATTCTTTCCTAGGAAATTTGACCATGAGGTGATTGGGCTGTGCTACTGTCCAGCCAACTGGCTTTTCTTAATCTAGATGGCTGGGGGTGGGGATAAGGGGTCCCTTCCCTTCTCTCCACTCCATTTGGTGGTTTCTGAAATTAATTACTCAATCAAGCAGATGATCTGCCCAGGTAGCAAAGAAATGCTGCTTTGCCTGGGAGTTTCCAGTTTCTGAGCTCTTTTGAATAAAGCCTGTAAGCAAACTCAAGGTTCTTTTTGGCCAGATTTTGCTTAAAGATCCAGAAGGATATTATTCAAAGATACATTTTATAAAGTTAGAAGTTGTATATAATGGTACTTCTCATGTAGTAGGCTCACAGGATAATTTTCTTTTGATTAAGTGGATGAGTGAATGTCAAGTACTGTTAATCTTACAGTGAATAACCCAGCCTGTCATGGTAGATATGATCACTTAGGGAAAAAAGTTTTATTTCCAGTTTAAATGGTAATATTTTTATTTCCTGATGCCCATACGATCTGACCCTCATCATAATTCTCCTCAGAGCTTTCATCAATCCAACCGATTTTCAATCCACAGACCCCAAGCCTGCAGGAAGCTCTTCAGAGACTAAGTAAGCCCTTGTAGCAAGCATGGAAAGGTAAATGCAATTAGGGATTCCTATCATAATGTGACCAAAAGCAATATTATGACATTTAGCAAGTGGGAAATGATATTGTATATCTTCTTTTTTATTATAAAAAATGCACCTTTGTGAATTTCTTTTTTACTGCAAAGGAAAAGGAAATGAAAAGATAATTCATGAATAGTGTTGAAAATGCAAATGGGAAATCTTGCCTTGGTTAATGCCATCCATATCAGATTTCTCTCACTATTAGATGGTAAAATCTTTTTAAATGAAGAGATTGGATTGATGTGGGAAATGTTGTTTTAGGTGGAGTATGATTAAAAGGCCATTGATCATAAGAAGATGCTTTATGTTTTTTTAACCATGTAAAATGAACTTCCTTAAAATAAAGCAGTTATAACTTGGATGCCAAATTAGTGAATGAAAGTTTGATGAGGAACTAAATATTTCTATAGTTTCAAAGTATTCTCCCCCAATGCTATTCATTATGACAATAAAAAGCATGAGTTTTTAGTGGAGAAATGTGGCAGACACCACCGTATAACAGAGATCAAAGCAAGTATTGAAGCTGTCCTCACAGGGCTAAAAAGAATTCTGAACAGAAATAGAGTTATAACTAAGCATTAATCAGGCTGTACTTTGACCTACAGTACTTCCTTGTAACTGAAAGTCACTAGATCCTGGCCATTTGTGTCCCCATTGCTCCTAAAGATAGGATGTCTGACATTAGAGTCATGAGAATTTTAAGATTGAGTTTCTGATGTTAGAATCATAAGGTTTTTGTTTAAGAATTACTTCAGATGTTCTTCAGATCCTAAAGTCCGATGAAACAGCTGATGCCAACCAGTCTGAAGACTCCACGTAGGAAAAGAATCAGCATGAGAACACAGTTTCTTCCTCTGTCTGTCCTATGATTTCACTCTGCACTCTTTGACCAATCAACAATCTTCACTCTTCAGCCTGTTCTAAAACTCTTATAAACTTTAGTCTCAAACTCCTCATGAAGATGGATTTGAGGTTTCCGCCCATCTCCTCATTCAGCAGCCCTCAAATTAAACCTCTTTCTCCAGCCACTTGACATCTTGGCATATTGGCCTGCTGCACACATTGGGTGGTGGACCTATTATGGTTACAGTATCACAAATATTGGGATAAACTGACATCTCTTGCCTTTTCATATGATGTACTGAGAAGAACACAAGTTACTCTCATGGTAGAAACATTAAAAAAACCTCAAATTGGGGAGCTATTCTAGAAAATAATTGGCCTGTGTTTTTCAAGAGTAAATGGTCAAGAAAGGGACAAAAAACTGTTTATGATAAAATAAACTAAAAATAAAAACTAAATGTAATGCATAATCCTGGATTGAATCCTACACTAGGGGGAGATAAAAGAGTATAAAGGGCATTATTGGACAATGGGCAAAATTTGAATATGAACTACAGTTAGGTAATAGCATTTTAACAATCTCAAGTTTTCTGATTTTTATAATTATATGGTGGTTTACATAAAAACATTCTTGTTTTTAGGAAATGCACCCCAAAGTATTTAAACGGCCAGATGTCTCCATGGGTCAGAAAAAATGTATATGTTTGTGTATATGTGTACTTGTATATGTACATGTATGTGTATATACATATGTGCACACACACACACAGTGGTAGAGTCAGGGAAGGCCTTCTGGGAAAAGGAACATTAATTTAAAGCTACCTGAAGAAACGTAAGAGTTAGCTAGGTAGAGAAGTTGGGGAAGAATGCTGCAGGTAGAAGAATGAGTTCCAGAAACGGGAAGAAGTTCATGGGGTGCTGTATAGGGCAGTGGTCTTCACCCTTTTTGGCACTAGGGACCGGTTTCATGGAAGACAGCTTTTCCACAGACAGTGGTTGGGGGATGATTTTGGGATGAAACTGTTTCCCCTCAGAAAATCACGCATTCCTTAGGTTCTCATAAGGAGGGCATGACCTGGATCCCTTGCATGCGAAATTCACAATAGGGTTGCATTTCTTTGATTACTGTCTCCACTGATCTGACAGAGCTCGCCTGCCACTGACCTCCTGCTGTGTGGCCTGGTTCATAACAGGCCGTGGAACGCTACGGGCCCATGGCCCAGGACTGGGGACTCCTGCTGTAGAGTACATGGAACGGGAGACAAAGAGTGGCAGGAGTTGAGACTGGAGAGGCAGCCCAGGGTCAGATGGCCTGTTGAGTCTGTTATGTTGAGGGCAAGAGTCTGAGGAGTGCCAGGGAAGTGACACATTGTGAGTGCAGATTCCAAGCGTTATTTTGGCCAAAGCACATAAGCCTGGGCTGAAGGAACTGAGACCGGGGGTGGAGGAAGCTCTTTGACCCACCGCCCCTCTCCCCTGCAAATAAAGTATTTCTTCCTGAGAATGGACCAGGAAACAAAGAGGGGTTGTAAAATCCCATGAGCTGAGGTGTGGTTTATTGCTGCTTGCAGAAAGTTTAGGGTGGGGCATGCCTGAAGAACTCCCTAAGTTCCTTTTAGCTGTAAAGGCTTTCTCTTATTCTAGATTTTTGAAATGGCACCTCCCACTAAAAATAACTTGAGGATTGCCTACTTTTGCTAATTTATACTCAGATCACCTTGGGCTTGAAGTGAGGACCCTCTCAAGCACCAGCCTTATTCTCTTCTGGGCACAATGTCCTCTAGGTGATAGAAGGACAGTCCTATATGGGGACCTTTAGACTAACAAGCTGGGCTAACTTCTGTTTTCTGAGGAATTCTGTTTCTCTCTCCCAAGCTTTCTCTACCCCGCCTGGCTCACATTTCCAATGGACTCCAGTTCCTTTCTGTTTCATTTTAGTGAGCTCAAATAAACCCCATCTCTAGCAAGTTCCATTTTCACTGTTAGGGGATAAATCAACTAGTTATTCATTGAATCAACAAATACTTATTGAATTCTTGTTTATATACCAGGTGAGTAAAACCTACACACACGTCCCTCTCCACCTGAGCTTACATTAGGTGGCTGAGCTATTTTAAATCCATACTCTTAGAAATAAATATATATTTACCATCCAGGAAAAATGCCACTGTCAAAAGACAAAATCAGAACAGGTTTAGTTTAAAGATCTTAATTAACTTTATTTGTGGTTCTAGAATTGGGCAGCACTTTATTTCATAAAATATAATCAGCGTGCCAATGAGCTGGGCAGAGGAGATTGGCTTTATAGAAAGGCCTGAAGAAAGCAGAAACACAAAACAAAAGTGAACTGGTTATTTTACAATTAGTTTCCTTGTAAGGCAGGAACAAGAAATAGAACAATAGAAAAATAACCGACTGTTTAACATCAGGTTCCTTTTTTGTAAGGTTAAAGGCAGGGCAACTTGCTTTTCATGCCAATTGAAACTGACCTATTTGGGAAATTCTCTCTCTCTCTCGATTTCTCTGAAGGTTGATAACAAATTTAGTTTTAGCTTGGTGAAAGTGGCTCCTTTTTAATTTTTAGTCTAGTTTTTTGGGGCCTAGCTTTGTCCAAAACAATGGCCTCCTATAATTTTTATTTAATGCCACAAAAGAGAGCAGGGTGCAGTGAGAGCACATTACAGAGGGATGGGACCTTGTCTCGCAAGAGGTGGGGCTTGAACTGAGATCAGGGAATGGGTGAGAGGTGGCTGGATGGTGTACTACTGTGTG